ATGAGTGCAATTGTATGGTAGTTGGAGCATTATTTCGCAGTGCCCTTCTTTGGGACTCAGATGTAGACGCATCTTTTCCAACCCTCTGGCCACTGCTGAGTTTCCAAACTTGCTGACATATTGAGTATAGCACCTTAACAGTGTCTTCTTTTAAGATTTTAAATAGTTCAACTGGAATGCCATCACCTCCACTGGCCTTGTTGTTAGCCATGCTTTCTAAGGCCCACTTAACTTCACTCTCTAGGATGTGTGGCTCAAGGTCAGCAACCACACTATCTGGGTTGTCTGGGACATCCAGATCTATCTGGTATAATTCCTCTGTGTATTCTTGGCACCTCTTCTTTATGTCTTCTGCTTCTGTAAGGTCCATACCATTTTTGTCCTTTATCATTTCCATCTGTGTACAAAATGTTCCTTTGATATCTCCAATTTTCTTGAACAGGTCTCTGGTTTTTCCCTTTCTATTGTTTTCCTCTATTTCTTTCCATTCTTCATTTAAGAAGTCCCTCTTGTCTCTCCTTGCTATTCTTTGGAAGTCTGCATTCAATTTTCTGTAACTTTCCCTATCTCCCTTACATTTTATTTCCCTTCTCTTCTCTGCTATTTCTAAGGCCTCATTGGACAGCCACTTTTCTTTCTTGCATTTCCTTTTCTTCTGGATGGTTTTTGTTGTTGCCTCCTGTACAATGTTACGAGCCTCCATCCATGGTTCTTCAGGCACTCTGTCCACCAAATCTAGTTCCTTATATCTGTTCTTCATTTCCACTGTGTATTTATAAAGGATTTCTACTATACCTAACTTACCCAGTGGTCTGTCCTACTTTCTTCAATTTAAGCTTAAATTTTGCTATAAGAAGGTGATGATCAGAGCCACAATCGGCTCCTGGTCTTGTTTTTGATCCTTGAAGGGGGCACCATCATACACACCTCATATAAATTAATGATTCCATGCAGAATCAAAGCTAGGCTCTGTGTATGTAAAGCAGCTTTCAGTCCAAACATCTTATTCATAATCAAGAGCTAAATGGGGTTCATGATGAACAATTATTGCTTCCGAAGATCTTTCTCCTATTTTCCTCCAAAGACACCTATATTACTTTTGTAACAGCCTATACACACAACAAGCACCACCTCTTAGAGGTCTTTGGATAATAGACCTCTACACAGGTCTACGCAGAAGACAGGCCCAGGCACTCTCCAGCCCTGCCTCTTACAGCAAGCAAAGCAAGTGTCTGAGATGACATTTTTAGCTATGTTGCTTGCATACAGATTTATGTAAATGAAATACATGCCCCACAAACCCATCCCTTCATTCTCTCCCAGCTTCTTGCCTTTAAATTCTGTAATTATCCTTTTACATACTTGAAATGTCATGTCAAACAGGGGGAAAAAACCTGAATCGCCTGGAAAATATACTAACCTTCATCTAAACAAAGCACAAGAGTAGTCTATTTATAGTGTCCTGCACTGGCTCTTCCAAAAGAGGTAAATAGTATATATAAATAGAAAATAGAAGCTTAAAATAGGACTATCCCCACCCAAACATTTCTGCTTTTCCTTTCAGGGACTAAATTAGTTATCCCCAACTGCAAATTCCAAATAGAAAGTGATTTAGCTTTTTTTACTCAGTGTCTGTCCCTCTTGGATACACACACTTAGCTGTTTAATGTTCCATCAGTATCTATTATTCTGTGAAAGACCTCATTTTAGTGTGTCTGAAAAAGTGAATTTTGATCTACAAAAGCTCACAATTAAATAAAACTATTATCCTTTAAAGTGCCACAATATTTTGCGTCTCCCTCCCTCGCCAACTCATATGCTTAAGAAAAAGAGAAACCTGCTTTTTGATTAAGAAAAACAGTTTTTAATTCTTTGCAGTGCTTTCATGGCAGGCTCCTCCTCTACATTTTCAGACTACTCCAAAGTAGCATATGCACCTATAAATAGTGGCTTCTTATATACAACCCACCCCCACAACATACTAGAGTAAACATAAAAGGTGTTTTCGTGTCTCTAGCACTCAAAAAAAAATAGGCAGATGCCAAATTTATCTAGGCAGTCCAACCCAAGCAGGCTTACAGCCTAAAGTACAGATTTGAGAAACAGCTGTTCTACCATGAACTTACTAGGTGGCTGTTCTGATGACCACATACAATGGAGTAGCATTGGGGGAACAGGACTGTGACAACCAGCCCCAACACTCCACCTTAAACCCATCCACTCATTACAACACTAGATCTCAATCATGGGTCCTCCCAGAGTCCTTGACCACAGGCCTTACTAACTTATGTTTCTGGAAGTTAAGATTATAACAACATACTGTAGATCCAAGGTTAGAAACCCTGCATAAAGGTTTTCTGACTAGGCTGCACTTTTCCTATGCCTATACAAACTGTGTAACAGGGTCAGAAATCCTGGGCAAACAGAGTTTGTATAAGCATAGGAACAGTACAGATAATGTTGTAATAATTTTAAGGTTGGGTGGGGTAGTATGAGTAGGTTTTAGAAGGAAATATACATGGAATTGTCTGAATACTAGATATTAAGCATTAAATTAAATTGTTAGTCCCAGCTAGAACAGACCCAGTGAATCAGTGAAGCATAATTTTATGCATTTATTCTGCTTAGGACCAATTTAGCCCTAAGTATTATTAATTTTCCAAGATCAGTTGTTTTTAAGCTATCGAGACCCACCAGAGAATGCAGGTGCTTTGCCCCACCATCTTCAGTAACATGCCTGTGGTAGAATGTTTCTTAACACTGCTTTGTGAATGTTCATTGTAGTTCTTCAACATACGCCAGAACTTTAGTGTTATTATCACCATGTGCATGTCTTATATTTTAATTCCCCTGCCATTATTACTTAAATGTTTTTCTTTCCCTATCAGGGTCAACTGTGACCCTCCCGTTGTTTTTGGACCACAACTGCCATAATCCCTAACCATTGACAATGCTGGATAGGACTGATGGGACTTGTAGACCAATACATCTTAGGGTCATAACTGGCCAAGTTCACACTGTATCTATACTAATAAATATCTGGTCCATAGAAATCTGATGTCATAGAAATATGTTACAAAACTCAAGGCTTTTCCTAAAAGTTTAACATAGATATTGCTCTACCTTTTAAAACTAATTGATAATAAAGGTATTATTCTATAATTATATTAATATAAAATATAAATAATATCTTATTTAAAACATAATAGCAGTGTATGGGTCACTATAGCTCTGTAGATATTGCATCTCAAAAACAGGTTGCTGTTCACAAACGTTTATGCCAATTAAAACCTTTTAGTTCCAACTGTGCTCAGAAATTTTTGCTATTTTCTCTTTGAGTTAGCTAAGCTTAAAGGGAAACTTAACCACCAGAGAGCTAACAGAATTGAGAGTGAGTCACTTCTTGCTCTTAATGATTTACAGCAGTAGTTCCCAACCTTGGATTCCCAAATGTTTTTGGATTGCTTTTCCCAGAAGGCTTCACCATTATCTATGCTGGTCAGGATTTCTGGGAGTTGCAGTTCATACTTTGGGAAGCACTGGTCCATAGGAAGTCAAAAGTATACAAATAAGCTGTAGTAATGAGAGCCTCATTCCTTTGCTCTAGTTTACAGATGGTAAACTGCATTCTTCTCTCCTAAATCACACTTCTCAGACAACCAAAATTTGCAGTAGTTCTGACATCCCCAACCTGATGTCCTCCAGATATTCTACTACAACTCCCACTATCCTTCACTATTTAACATTTGTCTGAGGAGGATACCCATCAAAAACAACTGGAGGACCCCAGGTTGCAGAAACCTGGTACAGTATAAATTGATTGGGTCAGGCACAGATAAAAGGCTTTTATTCCTTTCCTCAGACTGGCAACAGAGTCATGCAGTTCACGGCAAGAATCAGTTCTGCAGTCTGAATATTGGATACACCCTCAATTAAAAGGAAGGCCAAGACAAAAGAAGAAAGAACGATTGTACTCTTCAAAGCCTCCATTCCTTTATCCAGAATTAGCTGTCTCACCCCTGGAGAGAAGCTCTGATTAAGTAGCTCAACAAACAACAGCCCAACCATCCAATGAGCAAGCAGAGCCATCTTTAGTATCTGAATCCAGAAATATTCCTAGCACTGGGAAACAAAACACTCGGAGGTGGGGTGGGGGACGGGAGAGATGCTGATAAAGATGCATCCTGATACAGCTCTCCCCCGCCCGCCCCCGGTCTGGTAGACACAGCTAGCTGGGCGCTTCTGGGAGCTGGAGTCCAACACATCTGTAAGGGACTAGACTGAGAAAGGCTATGCTACCAAGTCCCAAAGGGGTGCGGGTTTGGGCAATCCTGGGATCCCTGCATAGCCCTTTCTGAAAAGCATACACAGCTCCTTTCGATTTTGTATTTTTAAAGGAATACATCTGCGTCAAATTAATGCTTTCACGTCACTTCTTTTTTTCGTTCATCCGCTCCCATATCCATCAAACCTTCGTAAGCGTTAATCCAGAATACAAAATCTGTTTAAATATATATCCATTACCCCCTCCTCGGTATATTGGGTGTGTGCGTGTGAGAGAGAATCAGTTATAATAGGAAACTAGGCAGGCGTCCCAACCGATTCCTGTGTTGAATAGAGCTAAGGCGACAAGACAGCCATTTATCACCCAGCTCTCAACCCCACGCAAACCCTGTTAACACAGCCAGCCAGCCATTCATTCATCCATCCACGAAGCCCCACGCGCGCACATGCCCACACCCCTGGCGCCGTGCTAGAGAAGCCCTCCTAAGGGAGGCACCGCAGAAGGAAAGGCACCGTCAGGAGGATGCCACGCATTCAAAGGTGTCCACCACCCAAGAGGGAGGCAGGCTGGCAGAGCATCCCACCGCCTTACCTAGAGGTCCGTCAGCCATGCCCCTCCGCTGGGTTCCCTCGGGGTTCCTCCAGGTCCAGGTCCCTCCCCATGAATTTCACAAGGCCGCCCCCTCCCTCCCAGAGACAGAAGGCAGGTACAGTACCTTGTGGCGAGCAGCAGTAGCCGCCCCCCTCCGCCCCGGCGTCGTCTTTCACGGCTCTGCCCTTTTTCTCCCCTCCCCGCGTCTTCAATGCCCGTCTCTCGTCCTCCCTCCCACTGGATCACTCGCCAGCCTTCGGATGCATTTAAACGAGGGAGGGGGGGGTCCTTCCTCCTGACGTCACGGGAGTGGGAGAAGAGCGAAGGCGGTGGGTGGGAGGAGTGGGGCGTGGGGGTGGTTCACCTCCAGACTTTAAAGAGACACGGCATGGCGGGGCCAGACGGAAGAGAAACAAAACTGGGGCCGGCGGCTGACAACAGCACCGCTCCCAGACCGGCACCCAGCCGTTTATCAGTGCCTTGAAAACTGATGTCTTTATCAGGGGCTGGACTTTATCAGGGCGAACCCTGCCATTAGGCAGAAAGAAGCATGTGCCTCATACTTGAGATTTGGGACACTGTAAAAAAAAGGAGCAAATTATTAGTAATTTAATTTCTTTTTAAACTGCTTTTTTTTAAACTGCCAGAGAAGATAAAAAGGATTTGGAGGATTTTTATTTATTTATTTTTCTTCTGTGCTAACAAGACTTGGCTGGCTTTGGGTACTGCATACTGTGATTTTTGCAGGGTGGTGCGATGTGCTGCTCTACCTCAGGGAGCAAGAGATTTTGGGCCAGCCCTGGTCTGCATTTAGATGGAAAGATGTGCAAATGGTGACAATGGTCTATCAAGAGCCACAGGAACCAGGCCACTTTGATTCCTGATTAAGGCAATGAAATACTCACCATGGGTATGGCTAGTGACAGAGATAGCGCTCACCTGGTAAGTCTCCTAGATAAGAGGGTGGTGCCCATAAAACCTAAAAGACCAGCCTCTACTATTTCCAAAGGCTGTGTTTCCCATAAAGTCATGTCTTGTTTTCCATGCTCAGAACTTGAAGCAGAGCCTGAGAGGTGGATAAAAAACTAATGTGAGAGTCCACATTTAGGACATATGCTCCCTGAATAATGTGGGATCCAGATTCCAAAGGGCTTAACAAGTCAGCACCAATGCTTTAACCAAGAAGTATGTTGACAGCCAATGCAATAGGAACCAAATTGGCTGGATGCATCTGCAACACTTTTAAGAAGGTAAAGAGCAGTATTTTGCACCTGCTAAAACTTCCAAGTTGTCTTAAAGGATAGCATTACACTGAGAACAGTCAACCCCTGGAAACTTCAGTTGGTGAGAACTGTTGTGGTTTAGGTATTTGGCTTGTGAATCAGCCAGAGGTTGGGAGTTAAATTCCCCACTGGGCCTTCCTGACAGGGGCTGTACTCAATTATTTGTAGGGTCTCTTCCAGCTCTGCAGTTCTAAGGTGATGATGATGAAATTTGCAGGGCCCTCCTTGTCCAAAAGTGGTGAGTCTACTTAGCAAATTAAGCTGGTGGAAACTTATTACTGATTATCAGGAATCTGTGCTAGGAATCTTACAGGCAAAGGTGGATGGGGCTCCTATACTGTTGGTAGAAAAGGCATTTGTGTAGATGCAGTGTGTTGTGAAAGGAGATGATAAAAGGATTGACTTGCTGAAGTGTCCTCCTTTCCATAACTGCTCCCAAAGAGCTCAAATCCTCTGTTACCAAGTTTAATTAATAGCAATTTATGACTATTTAGTACTTTTTCAAAGAGCTCAACTCCTCTGTTACCAAGTTTAACTAAGTAACAATCAATAGCAATTTATGACTATTTAGTACTTTTTAAAAGCTTGAAAATAGATAATGAGATCTTTGTAGGCACTGATGTATGAGAAAAAGGTCACAAAATAATCTATAGGTTGAAACACGGCTGATTTGATTAATAAAACCACTTTTTTAACATCTTGAGGTACCATCTCTTCTTGCATACTGGATTTAATTGGATATTTAAAGTCTCTTTTATTTTTAAAGGCACACAGTTTATACAGCTTGTCACCTTATAGAGGAAATGTTCTTAAAGCAAAACCTCAGTGCAGTTCTGTTCATTGACCCACTTTAATTTCCTCAGAGACAATGTGTAGCATCTGCTAATTTAAGCAGCTCTCATTACTTTTCAGGAGCATAACACTTGCAGAATTGTGAAGTCTACAGAAAACTAGTGGCAGTTTTGACTGCTAGATTTCAAGAAATTTCATTTCCTTTTAAGCCATGTGTGCAGAGCATGTCTCCCTCCAGATGTTGAAATCAAATCTGTTATTAGAATATAATTCACATTGGTCCTAGTCAGTGTTACCAGTTATGAGGGAAGATGGGAATTGTGATCCAATAACATATGTAGGACCACATACGCCACATCCCTATGCCTTTACAGGCTTCAGTACTCTATTTTTGCAACTTCCAGCTGCCCATGCCTCTTCCAATTTAGCATCTTTTCAGTGTTATATTACTATCCTGCAGACATGAAGAGCGCTATTCTGCTCTCACATACTGCAGTATAATCCCTGTTAAATTCAGTGGTTTTTTCCCCAGTAGAATATATACCAAAATATACCAAAATAAATTGTCTCTTCAAAAATAAACTGTGCCTGATTCTTCTACCACTTATGGATATGTCACCTCAGTAGCTCTTTTGCGGTTCAACATAGGCCATATCTCCACAATCAGGATTAAAGACACAATGTTGCATCTTAACTGAATGATCTCCAGGTTTCAGTTTGGGCAATACAGCCTCACAATTGCTTGTACTCATCAGTGCTTCTTTTGCATCTGTTATTATAATTTCTCACTGAGGCATCAATTAGGGAGGATTGCTAGCAAGGCACTGCTTACACAAAAGAAGCCTGGTCCATGTGCCAAGATGCTCAGGCTCACAAGGGACTGCAGCAGAGACATGATTATAAATATCCCCCACTCAAAGTTTGGGGGGGGGGGCAAGCTGTTTTAGACCCACTGGATAGATTCACTACCAAAAGGAATTAAGCAATTCCTTCTCCTGTATGGCTGAGCAGCTGCCCCCTGTTTCTTTTAATTTGCACATTTTGTGCACTATCAATGGGGATCTAATGTTAATCAAATGAGGATTTCAAATTCCTCTCTGCCACCAAGATATAATTAATAAAGTGGCATATTTTTGCAATTGAAATGCTGATGGTTATTTAATTGTGAGACTTGCCACTCGTATCAGAGGGCTTTGTTTAAACAGTATGCCTTTCTGCCTAAAAGGAAGCAGAAGACAAAGAACCAAATAAAATCAAGCAAAAACAACAGAAAAATAAAAAATAAAGAAAATGTGGCATCTTCAAGACGAACTACTATATTTTATGTTAGCTTTGTGTACAGGTCCACTTCCTCAGACGTGTCCACAAAAATGTACATTAAATATAGCAATTAGTCTTTAAGGTGCCACAACATTTTTGCATTTTTTTATTTTTCTTCCGTTTTTGCCTGATATGCTAGCACAGACTAACATGGCTACCGCTTCTAAAACTACAAATAAAATCAATCAAATATTCCTCATAAACTAAAACTGATTATGTTTCAAAATTAAATCTAGCATATACAGATTTATTCCCTATATAATTACGTACTGTATATGAATTTCCAGAAAGAATGTACATAGCACTGAATTTTTCAAATGGCCATTTATGTTTTGTCTATTGCTTGTAGAAATAGTATTTACTAACTAATCAGTGTAGGAGACAGGACCCTGAAAATTCCTAAAACTGTCTGGCTTTATTCATCTTGTTTGTTTAGGCCCATGCTATCTCTCTTGTATGTAGGACGTGACTGGGTGCAACTTAGCTTATACTAAAAGAGTTGTACAGTACATATTTGTGCAGGAAGGAGGGGAGAGGGAGAGAGGGGGAAGAGAGAGAGAAAGACCTAATTTGTCTTTTATGTGCTCTGACCTTTGCAAACCCTAATTAAGACTGATATTCTTAGGGTTGCTCATGTCACTTTACTCCTCACATTTGTCTCTTTACCATCTCTGGAAGAAGACTAAGGAAACATCTTGATTTTGTTCGAGAAATAGCCACAGTTTCCTGCATCTCCACCTTAGTTACCTGGGAACTAGGATTATTATTATTCCTTTTTTACCACAATATATTTTTCTAATAGCTTTCTTATCTTCCTAGAATAAGAAGTGATGAATGTGATTTCCTTCCAAAACAGGAAAGTGCTCTACTACCCATTCTAATTTTTAGAACCCACAGGCTGACTCAAGATTCTTACCTGCTCTGCTAACAATTCATATCCCAAAGTGCTGCCAGAGTGGTGATAGTGATAAGGATAATTTACAGGGGAAAACTGAAAAATTATCAGAATAAAAAATAAATTATAAAACAAAATAAATCTAGAGCTAAGTAGGGGCAAAATACGAGTTGAAACACTCATCTCAAAGGTTTGGGAATTAAACAGGTTTTCAATTACTATCAAAAGGACTTTGGAGTAAGCATTAGGCAATTCTTCTCTGGACTGTCCAAAGAGACAGTATTACAGTGGACCCTCGACTTACAGACGGCTCGACTTACAGACTTTTCAAGTTACTGTACAGACTTCTCTGGCTCCAAAATTTAGGTTCGACTTGCATACCTGTCATGTACCCTGTTTCCCTGTAAATAAATAAACAAACACACACACACACATACACGGCCTAATTTGAATAGTAACTAAAACATGACTCAGTGGCCCAGAACTACTTGCTCTTCTCCTATGTATGTTGGCCAGCTATGGATCTGACACAGGGCCGGACTGGCCATCTGGCAATTCTGTGAGGGTACCAGGGACTTATCTGGAATTCTCAAACATCTTCTAATTGGAGGTACACAGACCTGAAGAAGAGCCTCAGTATATTACCATGCCATTGCTGCATAATGGTGGAGGGCAGGGTTTCACTTAACTGGGGCTTATTTTTGGGGTAGGGCTTATATTATGAGCATCCTGAAAAGATCATACTAGGGTTTATTTTCAGATTAGGGCTTATTTTCAGGGAAACAGGTATATATATATATTCCTGTCATGTAGCCTGTTTCCCTGTAAATAAATAAATAAATAAATAAATAAATAAATAAATAAATAAATAAAT